CACAAACTGAGTCACCGTTTCCAGTGTTTTTCTGGTGTTTATTGGTTAAATACCAGTTTCAATTTTTTGTACCAGGGGTGTTTTATAGAGGTTTATCAGTTACATCAGAAGCCCAAGCTATATACGAGTAGTATTATTATATTGTATATTTCCAAATGAAAAAAAATCTGCATTCAGCCCAGCAAACGCGTAATGGTGGCAGGTACCCATCAGTGTCTGGATAAGTTGGCCTCACACATGCTATTTCTGCAGATGACCATGTTAAGTTAAGGGGTGCCTTTCAAAGGAACAAAACTCTGGCCTGAAGACAAAAGCTAACTGTGCGCAAGCTAACTCTGGTAGCATGCGTCTCTGTGAATTCCCACTAACGTTCGAGTAAGCTTCAGCTCTGCCATTATTTTCATGAGTTTGGTTTCCGAATGTACTGGGGGATTTGTAACGATCTCATTATCTGAGTGCAGTCTGGTGGTTCAAAGAAACCGTGAGTGTTAGTGAGCATTTAGTTCTAATTCACTAATAGGATTTGGGAATTAGAATAGTCCTGCAGCTAAAGCACAAACCTGGGAGTCATATTTGAGTTCTGTGCCTAACTCTGCCATGGCCTTGCCGTGTCACCTCTGGTAACCCAGCTCCCCCATCTGTCACCCAGGGAAAGTGATGCCTGCTCGCAGTCGTGAGGTTTGCAAGGCGCTTAGTGACCCTGGGCCAGAAGGCAGCATGGAGGAGCAAAGTATTGCTAAAAAAACCAGCAATTAGGTGGGATGCTTGTGCACCAGCAAGTCCTTCCAGCCGTCTAAGTGATTGGCCCTGGCTCCGCTCAGCAGCCTCATTGTGGGAGGAAGGTTTCCCATTCATTTGTCCACTCTCCCACCTGCTCCAAGATTCCCCACAGCTCCCTTTATTGAGAGTGAATGTGTGCTGCGCCCAGATGTAACTGGATCGGGCCTCCTCCCGCCGTTCAGCTGGTCTCTCAGTCTGATTTTTTAGCATCATACTGCTGCACTCCTGATCATTTCAAATGTGTATTATGACACGTACATTACTGTCTTTATGTTACGTGTCTGTACAGCGCCAGGCATGGTGGGGTCTTGGTTGTAGAGCAATAAAACCGCCAAGGAGGCAAGGAGTTAAATAGCGTGGGAGAAATGAGCTAATAACATAGACTGTAATTTTTTTTCATACTGTTGCCTTCTGACCTCACTCATCTGAGTGCCAATATGTGTTTCTCTTCTCTAGATGACAGCTGTCAGGACCAAGCTGGAACGAACTGTGCTTTGGCAATCAAAGTGAATCTCTGCAGCCACTGGTATTACAGCAAAGCCTGCTGCAGGTCCTGCAGGGCTCCCCACTCCTAGTGGAGAGATTAGACTAATTACTGCAGCACTTGGAGATGGAAGGAATTAAGGGTAGACTCATTTTGAGCATCCAGCATTTGGCAGGAGAAGTAACATACACCAGGGTGATGCTCCCGGGTTTGACGTAACCACTTACCGATAGCTCATCATACCGGCATTATTAAGCGTTAAATGTGCCGCAAACTTGGGGTAAGGATGTTTTCTTCCACCACTGCAAAACTGCTATTCTGATTCCTCGTAACGGAGGGAAATGGCATCAACATTTTGTTTCGAAGCTGACATGAAAGCTTCGTTACTACTGTACATTGGTAGCATGTGATTATCAAAAGCTGTACATAGAATCTTGTATATTTGATTCACTCTTAATTCCAAACAGTCACTTGTTTTAAAAGGTCTGTTCTTTGTTTTCTGTGCGAGTTTCAAATTGAGAACGTCAAGGTGTCAACCATGTGAAATTAAAGCACCATTATGTTTGCCTTAGCAGAGGATCCTATAACCTGTTTTCTGATTCATCCCACAAGCCTGCTTTCTAGCCTTAATTTCCTTTATGTTTGGGAGCTGAATTTCATTCCCTAAATGAGTGCAAGCCAAAGCCTTTTGTAATATGTAGGTGTATACTTTTTCAGAGAATTTTATCTTATAATCAAACTTTAGTTTCATAGGCCTTATAAAAATCATAATGCTGACATATTGTATATAATAATGAAACATAACTGCACTTTATATCACAAAAAAGACGTGCTCTTTTTAATATATTTGTTTACAAACAGTGAACTTTATCCCTATAATCATTCATTTGTACTCGTATGTATATTTTAATAAAATTGTCATATTTATGGTGGTATCTAGTTTTATTCTTGAATTTTTAGCGTGTCTGTCTCTGGATATTGGCGCTGATGAAGAGGTATTGGATAGGCGTCACTGTAAACGTAGGGCCTGATCCTGCAAACAAGCATCACTTGTGTTACTACGGGAGGAGACCTATTGAAGTCAATGGGATATAAGCTCTTCGGGGCAGGGACTCTGTTCACACAGCACCATGGCATGACTGGGGCTCCTAGACATTATGGTAAATACAACTAGTAAGTAATAATCATATGACTCTGTGGATAAATTGCCCCCATGGCGCACCTTCCAGGACTGAGGGGAGGGGCAATCCTGAGCACTTCTGGAAAAACCCCTCCTCTAGGAGCCCACATGATTAACACAAGGCAAGGTGATTCCAAACGCCGCCAATCAAAAAAAGCGCACTCTCTGAAATCATGGCAAAGAGTCGTTTATTTTTTTTATTTGCTTTTTTTTTTTCCCTCAGTGAGTCCAGAAGTCCTGTACAACAGTTCACCATGTGAAGGTTAGTGAAACAGACGACATCGCTTGCTTAGTTTCAAAGATCTACTGGGAAAAAAAAGAGGAAAGATGGCGCTATAAGAACAGCTACCGGAAATGCAAAGAATCCAAAGGCTAAATGCAGCTGAAACAAACTCGAATAAGACTCGTACAATGGAAGAGACCTGTAGAAGCAGCCGCTGTTACATCAGATCACTTAGAAGACGGAACATTCCCAATGAGCACATTTACAGCAATGCGTCCCCTATTAGGGAGCTCAGTAAGGAATAAATCCAGCATATTTAACTTGTTACAAACCAAGACAAAAAAACCCAAGATGGTCTAAGCTATTAAGTCCTAAAGAATGACGAGTACTTTAGGAGGTCTCCCATGGAATTAAAAAAGCTCAGGGTCAAAAGTATCCTTTCCAGTTCGGCTGCATACAGTGTTTCTAAACAACCGCTTTCCTTGCCGAGAGCATGTCTGTAATGAAGCAACTTGAACCGGAGCATGGTGCTGAGCTCATCAGAGTCTATTTGCAGCCAGTCCACGCTCTGTAGCTGAACGAGTCGTTCTGCAGTTACAGAGCAATGCTGTTAGCCTGAATAATGCCCGGTGCCATTACAAAGGAGATGGTTCGTAGAACAAATTGTATGCACCAGATCAACAAGCCTTGAGAGAGTGAGTTGCAAAAGACCTTTCGATAAGCTTCGGTCACTGCTGGTTACTGCTTCTGCTAAAGACATTGTAGATGGTTTGTTATTTAAATGAATAAAATGATCCCTGTCATGCTTTAGCCAGGGAAGTGCCTTACTACATCAGCATAGCCGTCAACTGCCCTCTAAAGCTTCCAGAGAATTTGGTGTTTATGGATTTGCAGCATCAAGAAATTACGAGCCTGAGCCTAATTTCAGTGCACACAGGCAGCAGTTCACCTCCTCATGTTAAACTACCTAAACCAGGCTATTGATTGTGTTTAGACCCGCTGGGGTCTAGCTCTCTGGCTGCTAGCATTGCAACCATTTGGCAGGGTTTGAACGGTTATCAAAACAAAGGAAAACAATGGTGCATTTTTACGTTTTGCGGCGAGCGTGACCTTGAAAACTCGGACAAAGCCTCTTCCAGAGCAATCCCTGTGCACAGCCAGGTAAGGAGAAGGGAATGGGAAAACAGCTAATCGAGGCCGTGCCCTGGCCATTAATGACTGCACAGCTGCCCCAATCTGGGCCATACATGGCCTTGGCTACTGCTGCAAATTAGCAATCCTATTGAGCTGAGCGCTGTCAGTGACTTGTCATTGAGAATGTGACTGTTGCTTTGTTTTAAGTCTAAAATGTGACAAATTTCCAGACGGAAAAAAATAAAATGTCCTCTTTATTTTTGTTTAGCCCTCATTTCCCCAGTTTAGAAAGAGCGTGTGGCATTGTTGGGGTTTTTGGGTAATGTTTGCAAAACCAAAACTGCTCAGTGCACTGTTCTCCCGTTACATAAAAACCTGAAAGTTCTTGCATGTGCTATTTAAAAAAATACTTTCCATAGATTCCAGATGCCTGATACATTTCAGCTCTGGGGACCTCCACTAAAGGAAGAGACTTTACAAGAGTTGTGCATCCTTAACCTCAAGGCACTTCCCTTCAGCACTTGTGACCAAAAAGAGGGAGACAGAGAGCGCCTGCTTCATAGAAATCTCATGGATAACCATTAGGATTTACTAACCAGTAAATTAAGCTGATCTAGGAAATTCACCCCTATCTAGAGAGAGACTGCACAAGACTCTGTGTGACAAAATCCCAGTTGGTCCTGCTTTGAGGCCGTCAGTGGTGCAGAGACCTGGTTGCAGGTCCCCTGTGTGGGGGTGAATTTCATCCACAAAGAGAGGCTGTCGAGTCCTATTCACCTGTGCAGTGCTTGTCCGCTTTGTCAGCCATTGCAGGAAACCTGCCTTTAAGATTGCAAACTACCCCATAGCAATTGTCGATGATGGGTATGGAGGGGCCTTTTTAGGTGTAGGAAAGAATGCACAATATCAAAATCTCCTCAGTATAAAAAGAAAACATTTTCAATGTACAGCGCTAGAAAACCTACCACATACAAGCTGCAACCTCTACAACCATCTCTCTCTGGCTTTTTTTGCTTACCCTTTACCTAGTGATTTAATATATTTATATGCCTATCTAATGTATAAATACATTCATCATTTTAAAACACTTCCATGGATTTTAAAAGTTTCACCGTTGTTAAAAGCCACAACGGCATAGAAAAAGCCTCACGCTGAGGGGTCATTTGCTGGGCAGCCCACCAGTGTGGGGCTCCAGCCACTCAGACGTCGGTGCTTATGCTCCGACTGCGCGAGAAAGCTTCTCGCATGGCTGACAGCCGGTTGGGGTTCAGAGCTTGCAGGTTGGTCACGTTCACCGGCAGTTCAATATCTTCCTGGCTGATGGTCTTGTAGCTGACCCGGTCGCCTCCATTGTGGATCTCATCCGGCTGCTGCAGAAAGAAGGTAGGTGGATCATAGTGGGTACAACTGGGGCAGACAGTTCTGCACTGGGAGTGCTGTTTGCTGAAGGGTGAGGAGGAGGAGGAGTAGAGCGAAGGCCCATTGGTCAGCACTACATTGCGGTTGCTGTGAAGCGGAGGGATGTGGGAATGCACGGCAAAATCTGGCTCCTCCTCATCCTCTTCAGATTCCTCCTTCTTGCAGCAGTAATACTGAAAAGCCAAGGAAACAGGAAACCATTGATTACTTAAAAGGGACTCGAGCCTACAGCCGCGTCAGTCTAAACAGTAATGGATTTGCACATGGATTGGGAACCTACCAACGTTTTCAGGGCAGCTTTGGTTCAACCTATGAGAAAAAGATGGGCCATTTGCAACATCCTGTGCTGGATTTGAGTTGGGATTTTGGACGTTCCCAAAGTTCAGGGTCGTTCAGTCCCAGGCCCCATGTCTCACTCTGTATTCTGGATAAAACACTACTAACTGTGCTGTAGGGCACAATCCTCTGTTAGCAAGGGAGGGACCAGAGAGGGCTGAACAGGACTTCCCAGCGCCAGGCTCCATCAGAAACTGAGCCCCTCCCCCCACCACAACATAAAGTTTGAGCCAATTTAGTGGGGCCAGAACTTGAAGGGCTGAGAGCCTGACTTACAAGGGCCAATAAACACTTCAACCCACATTCATTCCTGCTGTGCTTAGCCTGTCAGCTCCCTGGAGCAGGGACTTGTCTATGTTCATGGGTCATAGTTTTGCAAGGGCACCTGCACAGGTGCTGCACCTTATGTCACTCCAAACACTTCGGTGACTGGAGTTCATCAGGAATGAACTTGCCCCCATTTCCCCTCCAGAAGCAGTTCCTGTCCCCTCTCACCAAAAGCCCCTTCAATCTCATGTCCCTTCTCCCGCCCCTCACGTGTCAGCTGCCTCTCAGGCCGGGCAGCCCTTGTACAAACTAGTCTCTGTCACGTTGAAACAAAGAAGCATGGGCTGACGTGCAACCCCGTGAGGAGTACCTGAAGCCTACAATAGCAGAGAACTGCTATAATGCAAAGCAAAATGACAGTCGCTAATATTCCACCTGTGATGACCACGGTCCCGGCTGTCATTCGACCTCTTCTCCATTAACAACCTGGAAGACAGAACAGGCGTTCAAACACAGGGTAAATGGGCAGTAGCCTCATACAAATTTGTACTTCAGCCAAGCAAAAAACAGGGGGAGAGGGGCAGCTCAGCACCTACCAGCACTCACTGTGCCCCAGCGGCATGCAGGGGGCTGACCCCGACTAAAAACCCAGCTCTGGTGGGTTATGCCCTTCTTTGGGGCAGGAGCCCAGCATTCAGCACCACCCCACCCCGTGCTAGCGCGCCAGTGGGGCAAGTTGAGCGGTGGCCATTCGCCCCTCGAGCGTTGCCCAGTCTGCCCATGCGGAGGCTGCTTACTACTGAATTTGCTAGTGGGTTGTTTGTTTTTTTTAACCATGTGGATGCTGGGCCACTAGGGACTGCAGCAAGCAGGAATGGTGACAGTTAGAACTTCCTGGAGGAGGCTCCATCATGGCTGTGACTTAAGGGCCAAGGCAAGGCTCACTTGTGGGTAGGGGGAACGGGCTCTGTTCCCCTGATTGACAGGCCAGAGGCAAGCCCCTTGAACTATGGCTCATGTGACCTCTGGCTTTGTGAGCCAGGTGGTGTGGGGGTGGCCATGGAGCAGGGCTGTGCTTTTGGCCAAGGGGTCTCTGAGCTGCAGTCCCATGGGGAGGGGCTACAGGGGACCCACATGTCTCCTGTGCCTGTGGCCCCTGATTACCTTAACCCAGCCTGGTGTAACGGGATGAAGCACCTAGATTTCCTGCAATAACAAAGTCAAATGCCAGCAGAGAGAACGGCGCCATCTGAAGCCTCTAGACCAAGTTCTGTACAGTTTCCTGTCTTTGACACAAGCCCATCAAGCCACTGACCATGCGTGCGCTAACTGGCGATTCAAGCCAGCACGGGATCGCCAGCATGTCCGCGATGAGTCTTCCACTTTGCCCACTTTGGTGCAGCCAGATGGTTTTCTGTCTGGTGCCTGCTGTCCATGCGCGCGGTAGGAAGGCACACTAACAAAGACGTGCATGGCCCACTGCTTATTTGGGTTCTGGCTGACAGTACACACACCAGGCTTAATCCTGCTGTCCCTTAAGTACACACAGCTCGGTAGAGCAAAGCCTGACGTCTTTCCTCCAGCAAAACGCCCAGCTAAGTTAATGGAACTGCAAGCTTTGGCCACTTGACTTCTCTGGGGTTGGTGGGTGGGCCTCAGGATTAGGCCCGTTATCAGGGTTGCGGGGCAGGCCTGCAGGCTGCCTTTCCTGAAGCCAAACAAAGGCCTGTAAAATCCATCTGGAACCAATCTGTGCATCTCTACTTGTTTCACTGTGATGTGGGCTTGGCAGCAGCTACTAGGTTGAACATGATGGAGCTGGTATCACCCATCACCCTGAGTCCAGCCAAGTGCCATCTGGCAGCTGTATGAAGGGAGGATGGAAAAAATAACCACACAGTAGATGTAAGATTTAATGTGTGTCCCGGCAGCCAACAGGTAGGAAAAAAAAATGTCTATGACTTGGAGTCTAGGGAAAATTTTAATGATTCTCTGGGCTGGTTAACGCCATACAAAAAAATCATATCATGAGACGAGCGAAATTCTCTGCTCAGTGATGCCGTTGATGGTTGTGCAGGTAAGAGAATTTGTCGCAGTGTCTTACAATATAAAACTCACTGGAAACACATTGGAAGCTTCCCGTTCATGTGGTTCTGCTGAACAAAATGCAGGGCCTTTGTATCTGCCTCACTACGGTTCAGCAGCGTATGCGACTCATTTGCAAAGGAAGCAAAAAATATATTTCAGGTTCACGATGATTTGGTCCAGGCGACTGTATTTTAATTGTCCCCTAAGTCTAATGTGTTTTAAAAGTGGCCCCTCATGCATTATGGCTCAGCAAAGGAGCTGGCGCTCTGTTAATTTCAAAGGCCTACTCAAGTGCGTAAGGGTGCAGCAATGTAACAGTTGCACAGTCTAGCCTGATAACACTGGAGAGTACATTGTTGATTGTTACACGGAGGCGATGCCTTTGGGGTGGGGGTCATGGGCCCCTCCAGATTTGCTGCTGGGCTTGTACTGAGCATGCTCACACAGACTGAGCACGCTCAGTAACACTGCTGAAGCTGGCTGCCCTCCCCCACTATCGGCAGGCACGGGGCGTCTCTGCCTTTACAGATAAGCTGGTGTATTAAAATAATGATTATACATCCAAACCTTGATCACTTGCACTAATAACTGGGGGCGCCATTGCAAATTATGGAGCTTTGAGAAACCCCAAGAAAGACTAACAAACCACCTCTCAACCTTGCAATAAAGCACCGCCCAGCAGACAAGACAAAACAGGAGACCCGTAAGCATCTTGAGTGTCACCCAGAAAAATGCCAAAGGCAGCTGTGCCCTGATTCAGGATCCGATGCTGCAAACTCTTACCCACGAGTAGCGCTAGTGACGTCAGTGGCACTACACAGCTGACTAAGGGTTACAGGACGGGGTTGTTTCACTATAGAATGTAAAACACCCTGGCAGGAAAGTAAGTGAAGCTGATGCAGGGCATCGTGAAGAGCATGAGACAGTTAACGCGTCCATGGGTTGGCCTGGTGGCCCAGGGGACAAGACAACCACATGGCCTTCATTTATGGAGGCAAATGAATGGCAACTGCAAGAGGGTAGACAACGAATGGCTGGCTTTCCAGCAGTTACAGGTCATAGCTAGGCTGAGCCATGCATGTCCGCTGAGACCATCACAACCTCTTCCCCATATGGTGGAGCAGCTGAGTGGGCAATGGGGATGACGAACCATAGTTGCATAATGTATACTATGATTATATTTATATTCTACAAAAGGGGGCTATATTTTTTAGAATCACCCTTGGCCAACCCCTCAAAGAAAGGCCCTGATCCTACAGGGTGCGGCACACTTTCAAATATCAATTTGGGCTATTCAGCATCCCAGAAGACGGGACCCCTGGGAAGGAAAAAAACCTTCTGCCTTGTAATTAGACCAATGTGGTCTCAGCAGGACATCATAGACAATTCACAGTCTGTCCTGTGTACCCATCACAATGACAGCAATATTACCTAGCGTGACGGGCTCTCGCTTGCGCTAAGATTTATAGCTTCAATGTTAGAGAGAGCGGAAGAGCTTTATACAGTAAAGAATTTGAATTGTGTCAGTTTGCCTCTGAGCCTGTGATCTATTTTCCATATGAAAATAATGTGGACTTTAATTTGGAATAACTGGAACTACTAAATGTTCTCCTATGATGCACTCAGGAATAGCCCAGTTCATTTGCAGAGCTTCAGTTTGCAAAAATAGATGCATTAAATTATGTAACTCATGCCTTTGTATGAGCAATGCATAAATGTGTGTGCATGCACGCCCATGTGCTGTTCATATAAAATTTTAACCTTTGTATGAGTAGAGGGCACACACACACACACACACACACACACACACAAATGCCAGAGAGTCCAGATTCCAATACCATATTGTTTCAGGCCTGGGGATGGATTCAAGCACCCGTTCTAGGGAGCGGCTTTGCCTCAAGAAATGATGCCGAGACTTGGTGTCCCAGGCTGGGGGTGGGGAGAGGCAAGCTGCCCCCGCCCCCACCCGGCCGTTTCCTAGTTTGAGCTGGTGAAAATGAACATATTGTTCAAAGCGCTTTGGAACCGTTTTTGCCAAGCCAGGCCCGGATGGCATGGCTATGATGGATTGCATTTTGAATAATGGAAAGACTGTAATTTAGCCTGGGCCTGGCACCTGCCTGCATATTTGCCTGACATCAGTATATCACCAATTTCCTTTGACCACTCTTTTTTCCCCTCACTCGTTGGTGTGTGGTTGTTTTTTTCCAAAAAGTTTCCACACAAATCCTTTCTAATGACGATTTGCTCTCTCTCTCTCGCTCTCTCTCGCTGTGTGACGGTTAAGTATCTGCGTCCTGCAATGGTTTAGGGCTGGCATAATGAGAAGGTAAAATACTGAGCAAGCTACGGAGCTGGACTGAGACTGGACTAAAGCAGCGGCTATTTTAGCTCTAAGCTATCAGGTCCTGCTTTATACACATATCACAACCTTGTGGGTCCAGCTCCAGGTGAGAGCAGGTCAGGAACACCCATTTCTTCCACTAGGCTACTCACTAGCCTCCCACAAAGTATCCGTTGTAAGATGACTTGGAAACCGGGGTGAGCAGAATGGTCACGGAACAGGGGCTCAGTGCTTCCTCTGTTTGGCTGATGAGGAACGCTGCGCCTGATGCCATCCTGCCTCTTGAACCCAGTTCCCTTCCTCTCTCTCAAAGCAACAGGGAGAGAGAGAGAAAACTCCAGGGACAAGAAATGCCACATGACTGTTCTGTTCCGTGAGAGCCTAGGTGGGTGTGGGAATATCTTTTACAGGACCATCTTCTGGGGGTGGAAGGTGCAGGCTTCTGAGCTACACAGAGCTCTTCTTCAGGTCTGGGGAAGGAAATCAGAGCATCTGAGGTCTGTTACATTACAGTCACCGGGGCCCCTCCTGTCCCCACTGATGTCAATGAATCATAGAATATCAGGGTTGGAAGGAACCTCAGAAGGTCATCTAGTCCAATCCCCTGCTCAAAGCAGGACCAATCCCCAACTAATCCCCTATGCATGCATGGCTGGATGCATAGGCGCTGACGCTGTGGATGGCTGGATGCATAGGTGCCGACACGATCCACCCAAGTCAGTGGGACATCTTTGCATCATTGACTTTAACGGGAGTTGGACTGGACTTTACCTATTAGAAACTGTATTAGGTGCTTATACATGGGAGCATGTGTCTTGACCTATAGGCGATGGTAGACCCCCAACCAGGAACCCATGGAAAAAAATAGGGGTTACTCAGCACCCACCAGCCACAGTGGTGCTGGGGCCCCAGGGCTGGCTACTGATCAGTGAGCAGCTGGTGGGAGGCACTCAGGGGAGAGGGTTTGCAGGGGTGTGAGCGGCAGGCGGGTGGGGTGGGGGGCTCAGGCGAGGGGGCAGAGTGGGTGGGAA